CAGTTACAAGTTTCCAGAACATTATTAACTACACAGGGAATAGTCATATTAATAGTATTTCATTAGTTTAATGCTAATTTAAATGTAAATTGTTACATTTAGCTTTGTCCCAGCTCTGTATAGTTCATTTTCCTGGTCTTGCCTTTGGAATGGGACCTACAGTTTATCACTGAAAAACGGAGCCTGTCCCTCAGTGGTGGGTAACTCATATTTTTATGTACACTTAACCTATGCTAACCTCTGAATACCCATGTATGAACAATTGGTCTATTCCTCTATCCACTCCCTAAAGGACAAGCAATGTGCAGATTCACTTGAGTACCAATATTCCTAATAGTCCAGTGCTTCCTCTCTCAGTCTATGCCACCGCTCATGACAAACAGATCACCTGACTTATTTGCCACAGGAAAAAAAGTTCAGCATATTGTAAATAAGCAAGGAGATATCACGTGAATAAGCTCCCAGGTTACCTCTGAGATGTTTCAGTGAGTGCATTTGTAAAGTTGTCACTATTTCACTAGGCAATTCATTTGTGCGAGAATAGTACTGAAGTAGACTAATCTTCTCTAATGCTGTGCTGATGAATGTGTTGGGACTACATCTCCCATAACTTCCAGGCATGATGGTTGGGAACACAGCTTCAGCCTAACTGATGGGCAATGGTTTGGAAGAAGCTGAGACAGGCCAGCCAACACCACGTTCTCTCTTCAATTGGCAGCATGCTGCAGCAACAATTCATCATGTTCACGAGGCAGACACAACGTTCTACCCAGAACAAAGGTTCCTTGTACAGTCACCACCTTGGGTGGAAAAAGGAGCCTTCATCTTTCCCACAGCATTTGGAGATAACTGTAGGATTATTTACAGACATTGACTGTCTTGAAAGTCCTCAATAATTTTCCCATCCAGCATCAGGATTGGAATGACTTCCCGGGGGATGCTTCTGTTCCAAATACTGTAGGATGCCCAGCCACACTCCATTCTAAGGGAATGTGGGGACAATTCATCCATGACTTCAACTTCCCAGGGGCAAGCAGCTGAGAACTTGATTTGGGCCTGGGATCAAGAGAGTGTTTGTTTTTCCATAGAGCCTTGTGGGTCACATTCATGGCTAGCTTTGAGGGCGGGACAGGACAGAATAGGATCAAATAGGAACAGTATCCAGGCTTAATTCTGCTGAACCTAGAAGAGCCTTATAATATCAGCTGCTTTCTACTCATTTCCTCTCCCTTACACACAGAGGTTTGGGGGGGGGGGGACCCACAATCAACTGGTGTCTTTTCAATTCCATAAGTCTAACTGCTTCTTATACTCTTGGCTACCTGATATGTATTTACAGATAAATATGGCAGCATATCTCTATATTAATGTTATGCATATAATACATACCATATATGGGTTGGTTTCTCTCCCTGCAATCTAGTGCCAGTTGTTCTGTACCAGCTTTTCCTAATCTGATGCCCTCAGTGTATTAGCTAAGAGCTCTCATCATTACCAACAAGGGTGGCCAATAAGGAAAGCTGTTCTATGCAGTTTAGAACTCAAAGTTTTAATCCATTTAGTCACCATGTCCTGTAGTCCACAAATGTCATCAGCAACACCAATTTTCACTGCTCTCTTGGTAGTTTGACTTCCTTGAACTTTGTGCTTCCCTTTTTTTGTCTCTCAGATACGTTTTCTGGTTCTGCAAATGCCATCAGAAATGCTTCCATACTACAGCCTCAAAACCTCCCCGACAATTATGATGCTTGTCCCTCCTCAGTACTGCCAATTCTCAGCTACACTCTCCTCATTCTACACAGTTCTTACTTTGTAGAAAATGTGAGAAGCAATCAAGACCTTCTGGGATTCATAGTTCCTGAGGAAACATTTGACCAAGTAAAGCAGACCTCTCTTTGCTTGTCACATAATAAGCCAAACATGCTCTCTTTCTTTTTACTTTTCCATTGGCGACCAGGATCAGCAGCACTGAATTTCGGTTTTATGGTTTATATTATGCATTTCTTTTTAACTGAATTTTATTTTTGACAGAATTTCCACTTCAGGTGATTTAATGTGTGTGGCATCTGGATGCAAGGGGCGATAGCAAGGGAAACATGCTAGTTGTATGTTCAATCACTTCTGTCCACAGCAGTGGGCCCCCTCTGTTTCTTAGGATCTCTCCTGTACTCAGCAGATGGATTTTCCCAATATTCTAGATTGTACAGAAAGCCATCGCAGGGAAAGCAAACTCGTTGCTCCAGAGAGTTGCCCTCCATACATGAAGGACAATGAGGAAGCTGACGAAGGTCCTTCCTCCCGTGTACAGGTCACATAAGCTCACTCACACTTCACACACACTTTGAACATCCAGACTGGATTATCTGAGTACAGGGCCCTAAGTTTACCTAACCATCCTTAACCATGATGCACCATACAGCCCACCCATTCCCAATTTTCCTCATAATAATGAGTTTTCATGAGATGCATGAAAAAGGTACTACTGGAGATTTTTAAAAACAGCTTTCAAACCCCTTCCTTTCAGAAGACCTTCCCCTCCCCATCTTTCTCTTTTAGGCATATCTGGGCTGCAATATATATTAATATATCTCTATTTAAAAATTACTACTGGATGGCACCAAAGAAATACAGACAATTCTAAATCTTTGCTGCTATCTAGTGTTCATCCAGATTTTTTGAGCCCAGGTTTGTTGGTTTGTTTATTGAATTTATACTCTGTCATATTCAATAGACTCTCAACAGCCTACAATGATTACAATAAGACAACCATTTAAACAATTATATAGAACTTCAATGTTAAGTGACAATAAATAAATAAAAGAGAGTGGAATAATAAAAGTGGGGCAAGAATTTCAGTCAGCATGATCATGAAAATGCTTTCTGGAATAAGTCATTTTTAATAGCTTCCTAAAGGTCAGGAGAAAGGAAGTGAGTCTGATTCCCAATGGGAGTCATTCCAAAGCAATGGGGCTGTTACAGAGAAGCTACAGCCCTCCTTACCTCCTGGAACAATGGAATCACTCTCTGGTGTTCCCTACAAAATATGATAGAATGGGCCAATGTATTTGGGAGAAGCCAAGCCATGAAGGGGATTGTGGTTCAATACCAGCATTTTAAACTGGGCTTGGAAAATAGCCAGTGCAGGGCCCACAGCACTGGGGTTACAGGTTCTGAACATTGGGAGCCAGTAGCCACATGAGCCATTGCATTCTGGACCAGCTGTAGTTTCCAAATATTCTTCAAGGGTAGTCCCAGGTAAAGCATGTTGAAATAATCCAATCAAGTGGTGATAAGGGCATGAATTTCTGTACTAGGTCTTCTTGAACCAGGTAGAGTTGTGATTGGTGCACCAGCTGAAGCTGGGCAAAGGTCCTCCTAGTCACAGCCTCCACCTGCTGTTCAAGCAGGAGCTATGAGTTCAGATGGACCACCAGATTGTGAGCATGCTCTTTGAAGGATAGTGCCTGCCCATCCAAAGATAACCCTGGTGTCCCCAGAGAACCCCATTATATAAACAGGAATTCCATCTTATTAGGGTTTGGCTTTCATCTGTTCTCTTCCACCCTCCAAGCACAGGGGCAGGATGTTGACAGCATCTCCCCTATGACTTGGGGTGATAAAATAAAATTGGGCATCATTAGCATTTTGATGATACCACACCCCAAACTTTTGGGTGACTTTATCCAGTGGCTTCATATAGTTATGTCTGCCAATTTTACTATTGTAGAGGTTAACACCATTTCGCTGTCAGGGCATCAAAGGAGTAGATAATTCCTCCTTGCTATTAACACTTTTTCTTTGAAAAGCAGTTATTTCTGGGGTGGTGGGGAGGTGAGAATTAGGCATTATGGAAGCCATTTTGAGGTGGGGAAAAGAAACCAACATTGCCAGAAAATGACCGTGAGTCACAACGTCCCTGGATTCATTTTATCAGCAAATCTTTAGTACAGACTCTGTTTGTAATACTTTGTACAGGACGAAAAGCATCTGTTCCTGGAGGAGGGAGGGGGAGAGGGAGAGGGAGAGGGAGAGGTGGTAAGTCTAATAGCTCATCCAAACTTGTGTTTCACAGTGCAATCACACATTTACAAGTGTTGAGTTTGAAGAGGCTTATTCTCAAATATGTGGACATAAAGTGCAAATACTGTACATATAAATGGAAGGTTTGCATACGTGGACTAGCTAGTCACACAGTAATCAATGTGTTTGTACTGTAGACTTGACTTCACTGTGTATTACTCTGGAGCATCTGGGGGTTTTATCTATAGATTGCAGGTGTTAGAGTACAGGATGTACTATAGTCGAACAATCCATGTCTGCTGGTTACTATTACCTGTTGTGACTAAATGAAGGTTTCGCATTGGGGGGCAGTGTGTGTCGGAGTGGAAACTACTGGAGCAAGCAATAGGGGGATATTTCTTCCTTCCTTGCTTAGGACATTCCCAGGGGGGCATCTGCTTCATTCACCCAGACTTGATGGGCTTTTGTTCTGTTCCAATACAGGCGGGGACTAATTTTTTAGAGGACGAGAAATTGGGGACAGAGCTCGTCCAGCCTTCTAGCCAAACGAGAGTACTTGAAATAGTAGCCCCTTACCTGGTTCTGATTGCAATCCAGCCATTACTTATGTGAAATGGATGAGGGTGACCAATTATCCCATACATACAGTACATAAAAAGCATATTTTCTCCAATAGCTTCCTAAAGGTAAAGACAATCTATTGGGAAGCTCGACTCCTGCTGACTTCATCCATGCAGTCTTGGCAGCATTATAGAACTGGTTTGTTATTGCCTTTTTATGGGATGGGATTTTTTTTTTAATTTCCCAGTTTTGCCAACAATCCTAGAATTCCCAAGTTGGCTGTATTGATATCCAGATTGTCTAGTTGGCAATATCCAGAACAAGTCAAGAAATGGTGACTGATATATGGCACCCTTCCTGGGAGGTAGTTCTTTTCTGATTCCCTGGTGATTGACAGTTCTTTTCTCTGTTTCTTACAGGATGGGCTTTGACATATGGATGAGAAGCAGCAGCCTTGTGAAGAAGAGTGGAGAGTCAGCCTTCAGTGGAACAGAAACAGAGGGGCAGAAAACAACCTCAATTTGCCAGTGCACAGGGGGACTGTGCCTGGTGTTTGCTCAAAACACTACTTTCATTAGTCATCTTTACTTCATATATTTTAATATGTCATGAAGCCAGGATATCATGGTTCATATGCTAGCTGTTGAGATGCAATAGGTAATGCTGATCTCATTCCCAAATATTACATTTGCTTGGGGTTTTTTTTTTTTTTTTGGTATGCTGCTCAAATGAACACCAGCAAATCCCTCCATACACTCATGCTGAACTCATATTTTTATTTTTCATATATACGTGCACATACTCAGCAGTCTGTTCATCTTATATGAGCAAATTCATTGGTATAGTAATTGAGCATGGACTGTAGTGGAATAATATATATCCCTGCTGAGCTCAAAGTAAAATGGAACCGAATCTCAGGAGAGGGGTTGCTGTACAGTACTTATTTTCTGGTTTACAAGCTTCCTAGGCATATCTTCCTAGCAGCATAACTTCTAAGCACGATCATCTGACTGCAGTCTGAGGTGAGCTTTCTCCTGCCTGGCTCCATCCAGATGTGGTAGGATTGCAACTCCCAGAATGTCCAGGAACATCTTGGACCCTTCAGTCCAGATCAACTGAAGGAACCCAGTTTGGAAGGTGGTTTAAGCCATCAGCCAAACAGAAACTTTTCCCTGGTGCACAGTATTTTCTCCCTCATACTTCATTCGGTCCTATCTATGTTCAAGTGCTTCTCATGAGATATTTATGTGAGTCAGCCGACTTAACCATGTAAAGCTCCTGTTAGGTCAGCCAACTGCCTGGCTGAAGCAGATGATGGTCCTGAAAATCACTGTCCACATGATTGCACTGCATCAGTATCAGAGCAAACCGTTGCATTGTAATAGCTTTGTCCTTAGCAGTGTTTCTCAACCTCAGCAACTTTAAGGTGCAGTCTTCAACTCCCAGAATGCCTCAGCCTGCTCTAAAGCAACCTCTCCCAGCTGGCAGCTTCCAAGTGCCCTGTGGTTGTAGCTGCCATAATTCCCAGCCTACAACCATGTTGCCTAGGCATTTGCAGTCCCAATACATCTGAAAGATCCCTGATTGAGGAAGGCTGCCATTGCCAATTATGGGAACTACATTTGGGATAACCTGGACCTTTTCAAGATCCCTGCCACTTCCCATCCAACGTCTGTGTTCATAGTTACTGGCCTGGTTTACACAGAGAACTAAGACATAATGTGGTTTGTTGGTTGATTTTTGGCACAGCATGACATATGAACCCATCCCTTATGACTCAGCATGCATGTGGGCTCTGACTTGTTCAACAATATCGAAATTCAGGCTTAGTTTTATAGGTGGATGCAGCCCATCCCTTCTTCTCACGTAGAAACCAAAGTTCCTAGAGCTCCAAGAGGAAGTGACCACTGAGCCAATTCAAATCTACAGTGTGAGTAACACACTGTGTTTAGGACACAGCTAAATTTGCATAAGTTTGCCCTGTTAAGTGGTCATTAAGTCTGCTTAACAATGTAATGATTTATAACCATTGCGGTTCAGGCATTTTTTAAAAAGCCATTGCAGTGAGGAAAGAAGCTATAGATGCTACCATCGACAACAAATGACTCTTGAAGCCTGATCATTTTTCTTTTCTACATTTGCAGAGATTTATCTCCTTTGGAAACTATTTGAACAATGACGTATTGCCCTTTAGTTTCCCTTTGACTCACTGCAGCTCATTCCCAAATTTGGCTATAATTTTTTCATTTATCAACCCAAATTTATTCTCAGGCTGAATATAATGATTTGGCAGGCTTTCTGAAATTCAGATCTTACACATTTGAGGTTTTGATGTACATATTTTCAAATGATTACCAATCTGGAAAGCCAGTCTCTCCAGTCTAACCATGGATTTAGAGCTTAGACTCAGAGAGAGCAAAAATGCAGGCTTGTGAATGCAGAGCTACTGAGGATTTGATTGTGGATAACATTGTGGATCAGCATATACAGGAGTGCCTATTCCAGTGTGAAATTAGAGTATCTGGAAAGTTTCTTAGTCTCAGCAGGGCTTCTAACACAAGGCATATTGCTGCTGGTGTCTTAACCAGTACTGCCTTTCAGTGTCTGGAACATCATTTTGCAATTTTTTGCCCTCTCCTTTGTTCCCCTTCCCCAATTTGTTTAACAACCATGATGGCTGGACAAAAGAAGAGAGTTTCTTGCTCTTTTTGAAGGGTTGCTGTGTCTCTGCTTGAAGTTAGCTTCAGAGTTTACCCGTACTATAGTTAGTTTCTACGTTTCCCTCCCTCTTCATGGCACAATGCACACCTCTCCCTGGGCTGACGGAGGAGGCTGGTGAGGAGGCTGTGATCCAACAGCTTTTGAGGACCAAGCCTAGAGCTGAGGGGAAGGAGAGGCTGCCAAGCAGCCAGATGGAGCTCCAGCCCCTGGAGCTGCCATCTGCTTCTTGTCAAGTTGTTGTGAAGTGCTAGTTCCTGATGACGGAGACTGCTGGACAGCAGTGTGAGGATGCGGTTATGACAGATGTTGTGTTTACCATACTTCAGGCCCTCATCAGGCTGACACAGGATGTTAGCTTTTCCCTGGGAAGAGTGTTGCTTGATCTTATGTTCACCTCTTCATTCAGTGCCTGCTTCCCCAGTGAAAACCTCACTTTATAGGCCCATCTATACAGAGGGAAATCAGAGAAACTGTCCAAAAGAAGGCAAATGAATTCCCAGGTCATGGCTCATCTTACGGTTGTCTCTCTCAGACGGTCTTACCTGAGAGATGAAAAGATTGTAACATTCATCTCCTCAATGCCTCCTGGGTCTGACCTGTATCTAGAGTTACATCTACTCCTTGCTGCCACACACAATTTGACCAATGTATCATTAGAAGAGGTGTGAACATATCGGTCAGGGAATATCTAAATGACAATTTTATTTATATGGCTATGGAATTCAACTCTAAGCAGACAAGTATCAAGCTGATTATCTCACATCTGACTTATTTCAATGTTGCCAAGCATAGTTAATCTGAAATTCCCATAGTGGCTGAAATGTTTATTTAAGCAGCCACTACCTTTACCTTTGAGCGCAGCCATAATTTACATCAACTTTATGAAGGCCAGGAAGGCTCCAGTTAGAAAATGCATATACAATTTTATCATACCCCCCCAAAGCAATACCTTTGCAACAACAACAACAAAATTGCAGATACACTAACACAGCCGATTCTGAAAAGGAAAGAAGCCTATATCTTTGTTACCTCTTGGCAGAATTTCTATTGATCTCAATTTCAGTGTTGAGAAATATTCAGATCAACAGCAATCTCCGTTTACCCTGAGCATCAACAGTGCCTGGTGAAACATCCTATTATTGTTGGGTGCATGCTCACAAAATGGGATTGTTATAGAGCAATAAATTCAGAGAAACTTCCCAACTATTCTCTCTCCTCCATATAGTTTTAATTTCATGCAGTTATGTATTTATTGTATTTTTTTTTTAATAAGGTGACAATTCTGGCCATCCTTTTTATCCTTGGAAGGTTAGACTGAGTAAACTCTTCCAAGATCATCCAATCAGGTTTTTCTGACTATGGGAAGATCTGAATGTGGGTCTTCTTGAGCTAAATTAGATATAATAATCACTATGACACTATACTGTTATTTTTAAACTGGACATCTTTCTGTAAATATACCTGAAATGTGCCTCAGCACCTATACAGATGTGATCTTGGCCAGTAAGCATTTTCCATACTTCTACTTTTGTCATCTCCTGTCCTACAAGGGAAATCCTGCAGAAAGGTCCAAGTTCTAATCATCGTACTAGCACTATATTTCTTACGAACTTGTACTGGAACTTATATTTCTTTCTTAGCAAAAGCTCCTTAAAAACCCTCTACTTCAATTTTGATTTTAACAGTTCATGTGGTTGGTGCCTGCTATTAATAACAGGTCTGGAGAATCCTCTGCAAAGCTCAGGGCTTCTTGGGCTTTGTAAGCAACTTGATTAGAAAAAAAAGGTAGTAGGAAAAAAAGGTACTAGAAAATTTAGAAATCGCAGGTTGCTCCAAATCCTGTATTTTTCTTCTCGGTGACTGCCTGACCTCTCTGCGACCGCTCTTGTGAGAGAAAGTTGCTTCCTGGATGGACGCTTTCATAAGAATGACTTCGATGTCTCCCAGCCCAAGGTGCAGTGCTGCATCTCTGGTCAGTTGTGAGTCTGAGATGAAGCACTGTAGCTCAGGAAGGGAGGAACAAGGCAACGGAAAGGACCAGCCCTGTTCTCCTATGTTCAAGTCAAGCACCCAGAGGTAAGAATCCGGGCAGGTATGATTACCTAGCAGATCCAGGAGGGAACAATTACTCCAGAGTGTGGAAATACAGGGATGAAGAACAGCATGGAGAAAACGACAGATTGCAGAGAACGCTACAAATACCGCTACCCATTCTGCCTGGCCAGGGATTCTGGGGGATATAGTGCAAGGGAACTGGAGGGCCCTAGTTTGGGGAGAAGTAAGGGTCATAAGAGCACACAGCAAAACAGCAGATTACTCAAATGCATTCCTCTTCTGACCAGGGGTGAGAGGGTTTGTCAAATTATTCATATTTTGAAAAAGAAATCACAGCCCTGGCCTACGCTTTCTGAGAGTGCCAAGGAAGCATCAGATTCTTCTAGTGCTACCAAATCACCTTCTCACGGCTGCCACCCAGTGGAAATAGACACTGAAGGTAACTTTACTACACAGCAGAGGGGAAGCAGCAAATTAGAGAGAATCCCACATCTGAGCCTAATCTCACTATGTCCTCGGGGTCCAGTTTTCCCAGGAATCCCTTAGATGCTAAGAAGGGGATTCCTGGAAATACTGTTCTTGGGGTCATGGCTCAGCAACTGAAGACAATTGTTCACTTCAATCACATCAGAGGGAGCCATACGAACAGGCAGAGAGTCAATGGGAATAGAAGGATAAGGACTGAAAATCCTGAGAGATATTTTCATTTTCTTAGCTTCCAAAGGCCTAGCAAACCTGATTTCGTACAGGGATTCTCTCAAACCTAACATTTCTTCTGGGGATGAGGGCTGCAGGCTCTGAGTGAAGTACTAGGACTATACTCTGAAGAGTAGTAGGTGGCAAAATGCCTTCTGATTTCATTTTATTTCCATTTCAATTGGAAATAAAATTGCCATTTAAATTACATGTTATTTTAAGATACTTAACTGGATTGCTCTCCAGTTATGTTTTTAATATTTTCACCTTCTGTCACATTAAGCATTACAATTTGGTCACTGAGGAGATGATGGCTATTGTTTTTGAAGGCCACGTGTAATCTGGGGTTCAAATTATGTACCTCTGGCCTAAATTAAGAACATTAGCTTCCTAAGCGATCACTGTTAGAGAAAGACCTTTCTTAGCAGGCACCACTCACATTTTACTTAGATTTTACAGCTCCTTCAGTCACACAAATAAGCTGTCACAGGTAAGGGAATCAAAGAGGAATATCGTAGCTCTTCACTTAAGTTGGCGGAAGAACTGGATCATTTCACATATCTGTACATTCAAGTACTGATGCCCCAATCTACCTCAACAAATGAAAGATGCTGCTTTTTTGAATGGCAAGGAATGCTATGAAAAATAGCGTCTTCTGGGTTTCTTGGTATTTTATGACTATACTTGAGCCATACTGTTGTAATTCCTCCTCCCATTCTCAACAGTCCCATCACTGTAAAGTGGATAATAGGCATAACTTAATCCCTTCTATGAAGACTTCTGTGTCAATAAAGCTGAAACATTTGTTTGCTTCTCTATGCTTTTTGAAACCATTATGGTTATGAGAAAACTTGCTTCACAGTTATTCAGCTGAACTGAGCAGATACTGAAAAACAAGATGTTGCACATTTTGGACTTGCGCTGAAAAAAAGAATATTTACAAATGAGCTGGCCTGTGTGTAGCTGTGCACTAGCTGTATCCAAATGGTCCTGATGACTTGTTACAAAACAGAGAGCCAAATAAGGCTAGCGACTCTCTGCTGACAAGGCAATCCAGACAGCTGACTCAGCATCATTCGCTATGTGCGGATCCATTCAGACTTTGGTGGGAGGATTATGCTGCTCGTTTGAAATGAAACATGCTGCTCATTATGAACTGGTCAGTGCACATCAATCCTGTACATATCAGTCAGATGAGCATCTGAGTGGACTGGATTGGTTTAATGCCCACCTAACTTCATGATGGCCTTAATGGTACCATCAGTGGGTTCTTAACTGAGAAATAAATATTCTACATTTCAAAATGCCAGGATGCTCAAAAGATAGTTGATTTTAATGGAAAAGAAGAGATACAAACTGTGTGCAGAGTTTGGTTGCCCAAGCAAGCCTGTGTACACACAGTTTACATGCAAGGACACAGAGGGATGGTGTGCAAGCTCTACTGACTACCCTAGATTGCCCCTCTTTGACATGCTGTATCTCTTCCATGCTATTTCATGAATCCTGACTCCATCCAATGTATAACCAAAAAGCAGCTGGACAAAATTAAGTCCCTGGGTTGCAAGTTACTTCTGTTTGAATATAAAATCTCACTGCAAGTTCCTCTAAAAACAAGTTTGGATAAATTGGGAAGAACAAATATTAGAACTATTTAGGCTACATAGTTTCTCACTGGTTGTAATCACACAACCACTGAATCAGAAACTAGCCCATCATATTTCAGCTTAGTGTATTGTGCAAATCCAATTTATGTGGCAAATTTACATTTTGGTGTACCTTGCAACCCCAAAATATCAGTTTAATTGAGTAAATAAAGATAATCATAGGTGTGCATGTTGTACAGAAGCAGCAATTGCTTACAGATGATTATTATTTTGGTTGTGGATCTCTCACATCTAAAAATCAGGTGGCTCTTAAGAAAATGTACAGCCAAGATACCAACATTTGCCTAGCCAGTATAAGATGAGTGGGGAAAAGGAGCATATCTGAATCAAAAGCAGGATGGAGCAATGGATTAGAAACCTCTAGAGCAATTTAACACTATTCTGTTTTCAAAGCTTAGTCTACCTTTCCTTCAAGGGAAGACATCTTACAGGAATTTCGAGCCACATTTGCGCTGAAGATCTTAAGTAGCAAATCAAGACTCTCCAAAGCTCTGCATCATCTATCAGTTATTATAAAAGGATATAATTTAAGACCTCTATCAGCGTTTCTGATTCTTGAGCTCCCTTGGTGTGATGGATTGTGCCTAAGTCATCATCAGACAGCGTGGCAGGGATGATGGGAGCTGTAGTCCAATACATTTAGCTTTCAGGTTAGGAAAGACTGGCCAAGATACTAGCACACTAAATCCTACTCGTCATATCAGGAGGAGGCAAGGGATTGCCTTTGGAGGGGAGTTTTGCTTGCTCAGTTTTCCTACAAAAACCATCTGCACTCTAGCAGTGGAAAGAAGAGTTGAGTCTTTGCAGAACTAGACAAAAATGTTGAGAAAATGAAGAATAATTAGGGAAAAGACAGAGGAACAATCTGGATTTGCAAAATTTCATTCCTGCCATTTTGGGTTGACATATCACATTAAGCCACCGTTTGTTAAACTCATAGAAACAGAGGGTTAGAAGGGACCTTGGAGGTCTTCTAGTGCAACCCCTGCCTCGAACAGGGATCCTCAGACTATATCAGACAAATGGCTGTCCAGTCTTTGCTTGAAAACTTCCAGTGATGGAGCACCCACAAATCTAAGAGGCGGACTCCTTCACAGCTTAATACTCTCACCATCAGGACATTCCTCCCTATTTCGAGTTTGGATCCATCTCTGTAAAGCTTGCACTTCTTGGTTCTTGCCTTACCTTCTGGTGCTGTGGAAAATAAATTCACACCTTCTTCCCTGTAATACAGTACAAGTATTAGAAGACTGCTATCATGTCTTGCATCAGCCTTCTCTTCTTTAGGATAAACACACCCAGTTCCTTTAACTGTTATTCATAGGATTTAACCTCCAAGCCTCCCACCCATGTTTACTGCTCTTCTCCAGGTTCTCAGCATCCTTTGCCTATTATGGCAACCAGAACCGGACAGGGGTGGTCTGACCAGCATAACACAGAGAGATACTATTACTTCCCAGGCCCCTGACACTCTACACCTATTAAGGGTCAGGTTCATTCATAAGAATAAGCCACAGTGGTTAGGTTCCCATACCCTACCAGCTGAAAAGTAAACCATGTTATAGTTTACCACAACATCTGAATCCGAACGGTACATGTGCCTGAGACTACCCCCATCTCTTTAGAAGGTGACAGCAGCATTTTAGAAATCTGTATTGGTTAAAGTTAAGCTGAGAAATAATGACCAATCCAAGAACATTTCCAAGAAAAGTGGAAAAATATATAGGAAGTAAAGTCAGAAGAGTGGGCTGGAGAAAAGGGGAAGGAGAAAGAAGAGTGAAGGGAACAGAGTTTTCTTTTCTGGAGAATCACGGCAAGCGTGAATGGGACAGGGGTCCATGAAAGAAATTCAGGTTCCAATGAAAGCATTCCTCGTCCCTCATACCCGCTTCCGTAACTAGAAATCCCTGAAGGGTGCTCTGCAAAGGCACCCTGGGAACCGCAGGGGGCGCTGCGGACTTGCGCTGCTCAGATTTTTGGGCAGCTTCTACTGGTCGAAAGCTGCAACCAATGCACGCTGCAGGAAGGGGCAGGACAAATATCAGAGGCACTTCCGAACATCATCATCATCATCATCATCATCATTATTATTATTTCAAAATAATAATAATAATAGTAATAAAAGAA